TAAATAAATGCGAAAGTTGGCACTAATCGTTGCGAATTAAATAAATTCCTTTTTACGTCCGACTATAAAAACTGCTGAATTCTGTAAAATATCACGTTAAACATCGTTTGTTTGATAACACGAAACGTCCGCCTCCAAGTTAATTGCCCCTGCGGCGTTCCATCCCCACGTAGCCCCCATCAAAATAATAAATAAGTCCGACGTCCCGCGTCAAATAATAATGTCCGACTGTTGAGCATTCTTTTCTTGTTACCAAATCAATTAACGTCCGCGTCGTGTTTCTTATAATTAGACTTTTTTCGCAATTAAGAAAAACCCCATTTTTAAAATTGCCAGGCGAGCTCCGAGAGCTGGCATTTCTCGAAGGGTAATTTTGATTGTGTCCCGAAAACAGCTTTTTCCTAACACGAAGAGGGAGAGAAGATTCTGTTTTTTTAATTGCGAAAGCCCTGCATGCGAAGTGTCACTTTTTTTCCCCGACCAATTACGGGACGACCGCCCCACAGAAACACCCCTCGCGCTCACTTTCATTTGTATCTGCGTCTCGACGGATTTTTATATCACTAATTACTTTCCTGGCACGTACAAGAGTTTAAGTGGGAGACGGTTTCGGGGCTCGCTCCATCCGATACTTGTTATTATTCTTCGGATCGGGAGATTGTATTGGAAATCTGTTTGGACCAAAACAGGGCGAGAACTAATTAATTACATCTATATCGATACTTTCTGACAAGCGTAGATGATGAAACTCGACGAGATACCGAAATTTTTTCACTACACTGGCTACATCATATATATGGGATTTTTTATATTGAACAAAATTAGTTACTTTGGAATAAGTAGTCTTTCAAGTTTTCAATAAATCTAAATTAGGTTGAACTCAATTTTGTGATAACTTCTATTCATCGTCTAATCCAGGGCTAGACAAAATAACACCGTAGATATTGAAGCAACGTCCAGACCCATTTAGTCAAAGGTCTCTCACACGTTATGAGTCTTTCGTTAAGTATGGCTAATTTACCAATGGACTGTTTAACCTCACTAATTATCCCAGTCCTTAAAAAGAGCAATAAACTTGTGGCATCTAATTATAAACCCATAAATCTTGTGTCAACCTCTCTAAAGACAGCTGAATCTGTTACAGTCATTTAGTTACAAACCTTTCTAGTTGTAGATTCAATTATTTCCAATGTACAGCTTTGTTTTTATCGGATAGATCACTTTTAACAAATCTGTTGTGTTGTTTATGACTGAGCATAAATCTGAATCAAGCTCTATTCTGCAGTCATCGCCGGTCTGGACTTCGCAAGAATTTTCATAAAGCAACAACTAAACCTCCTTTGCTCAAACTTGAACGTCTTACAACGTCAACTTTTTCCAACGAAATATTGGTAGTCTTATATTATAAGGTGGTGCAAGCTTTCAGTGATAACTATTTAATTAAAATTGCATTTCAGTTAAGCATTTTTGGAGTTGTTGTTGTGTTTTGATATTTAAAATTCGCTTTCACATTTAGTTGATGGTCTTTTCAACTCTCCGAAATAGGTAAATTGCTATATACTCCATTTAGAATATTTTGACATGAATATTAATTTTTTTGCTATTAAATGCCTAAAAATATTTTTTCTGAGGTTAAATACACCAATTGTATAATATTTAATTAAAAATTGTTTGTAGTAATTATCTTCAACCTTTCAATGTAAATAAAAATAATAACATATTATAAGCAAAGAAACTTCACATAAACGAAAAATATACCTCATTATTTTAATTTAAGAACCTCGGATTCATACTCGTATATGTGAAGCAAGAATTCTATAAAGGTCTTTGAAGTATGAAAGTTTTATGAATTTTTCATTGGAAAATTTGTAATTTGAAAATCGTCTTTTTGATGCTCCTAGCAGGTCCAAAAAGAAAATAAGTTAAACGTTTTTTGAAGTTAGACTGTAATATTTTTGAAAATTAAATAAATATGAAATTAGTGCAGGAGTGTTATTTCATACAATTTAAATAGTATTTACACCAAAATTTTAGACTGACGTCATCAAATTATTGGTGGAGATGACTAGGTGAAGTTTAGTTAGCGTTTTACCATCTACGTGATATTTATAACATACGTATAAAATCTGACAACTATCGGGCCGTTAGTTTCGCAGATCAATAAAAATCGACACATACGACAGATAGACAGACAGACAGACAGGCATACGACGGAAACGGGAAATTTATTTTTGCATACTCTAGCGGTCCCAAGTTTAGCTCAGAAAGTAAAAATCTAAAGTTAGTTAGAAAGAACTTCTTTCGCCTCTAAAATAATAATAAATTCATTTTCTTAGGCAAAATTTAATAACTAAAATGTTTCAAGTGGAATTTTGTTAACAGTAGACAGATATATCTATTTTGGTACATATACAGTATATTATCAACACTACTGTTTTTGCACCATTTCCGGAAAATTGTGAACCGTTTTTGATTTAATTAGTAAAGTATATGACTTCATTACTATTTTTTTTAAACATCCTTTATAAAATAAATAATAATTTTTGAAAATTCAAATACATGTGTTCAAAAAATGGCGCACGATCTCACCGATACGTGATTAAATTCAGTCTTCATTAAGTCTAAGTTCGAGAAAAGTCATTAAAACATTCTTTACGTCAATTTTCCGTTAATTCACAAAAACAAAATATCGATTTTGTAATGTTATAAAATGAAAAAATTTGTGGATAAAGGCAAAATGCCTTCAAAATTATTTTGAATAAAGAAATTCCAATCGATTTCAGATACCCAACACAAAGAAGTGAATTAAAATATAGTGAAATTTCTAAAAAAGGAATTAAACTTTGAAGGGCTACATCTTCTACATTTGAACAAGGATTTTTTTAATTATTTTTTTTCTCTGCTCCATAAATGACCCTGAACAATGTGTCATAAAATTTGTGTTGCATTATTACCTTCCTCTCAGGAATGAATCTTAATCATTAATATCTTGCCAAATTTCAGAAAAGTTGAACTTTCTAAATTAAATTATAAAATTAGGACATTTTTCTGAAACCCACACGGATAACGTTAAATTAATAAATCACACAAAAAAAATTGATCTGAGGTTATTTACATAGAACATTCAGCTCAAGTTCTGCGTAACCCAAATACCGGTTACGTGGCAAATATGCCATAAATATATTTTTAAATAATTATGATATAAAATATAGACCGATTCATAAACCACAAATACAGGAGTAAGTTATTTTGTAAAATTTAAATAATATTTACTACCCAAAATGTTGAGAAGACGACGTCAAATTCTTAGTCATCCCCGTTAAGGGGATGACAAATTTTGATTAGGGTTTACACGATATTCTTAACATACATATAAAATTTGACAACCGTCGGTCCCGTAGTTTCGTAGACAGACTATAAACGGGCAGAGAATCGGAAACGGGGACATATTTTTTCGTATTCTAGGGGTCATGAAACGTCGAGTAAACATGAAAGTATCCAGTCCTGCGATGGATCCTATTACAATGCTTCCCTAACTTACGCTGGAGCAATAAAAATATTACTCCTATTTTGCGAATTTAAACAAAATTTACTCAGCAAAATTTTATGATGACGGCATCAAATTTCCGCTGGGGTTTTCCAAACAAATTTTAGATAGTCTTCGTGTCTATAGGATGTCCTTAAAATACGTCTAAAATTTCACAACAATTACTCCAGCAGTTTTAGAGATCTCCTGTCTAGTAAAATAGCCATCAGACGAACGACGACAAACAGACGGAAAAGGGAAACCACTAAGAGCAATGAAATGTGGAGACAACATGAAATTAGCATTTGTTAAATAAATCATTTTACAATATATGCTTAATTTAAGCTCAGGAAGTAGGTAATAAAAAATATGTATAACGGCAAAATTTAATTCCTTCGAAGAGCCTGGTTACTGTTTTACGTGTACTGTTATAAGCTTCGAAAAACAACAACGACTAGTCCGCAAAAACTGTATTTTAAGTACTAATCCGAACAAATAGCAACGGTTAGTCCGAAAATAACCATTTTTTAAATTGAGCCCGAAAAAGACTTAATCGAATCCGTAAAATAGCAATTTTTGGGAACGTATACAATATATGTATTTTCGGAATTTATGCGAAATCATGTTTCCAGGTTATCGTTTACGCGATTCGTTTCTTGGTAATAATAAATGTATTAACAGATACGACATACGATAAAATATATTGCCTGATTTATTATTTTTTTTAAATATCCTCATTAAGCAAACCTAAAAATAACGATGTCACTAACAGGACCTATTTTTACGTAAAAATGTGTTTCATAATATTTTACAATGACATCCAGATAATGTTAGTACCTAACCAAAATTCCAAGACGATTTGATGATCCATTTTTTTTTGGACACTATGTATATAGACAAAGATAAAAATACAATCAGATTCCTAAATGACAGCTAATGAGAACATAGAGACAATTTTCTTTAGCGTGTTGTTATTTTCAAGATAACTTTAAATGTATTCAAAATTTTAGATTTAATCGTTCAAAAAGAAAAATTAGTTGAAATTTTATTTGTTCTCCGTATACAAATACAGGCTACATTTGCACCGTTTTTAAGACAGTCGTCCCCGCTCGAATTAAGCTCCGATTGACGTTTATTAATAGCACTTTAATATCAATATTGTTGGTAACTAATTTGGCAAGGCGGCAATATTGTATTCACCCTCGACTAACCCTTCCTAGCTGCAACGTCTTAGCACTAAGCGCGTTATTAATTGCCGTCGTGGCTTACCAGTGAATTATTTACTAATTAGACAAGGCGTAGGGTTATAACTTCAGACTGTTAACAACCTTGCGGCATAGATACAGTAGCGCCCCCGCACCATTACTAGTATCACTATACACCAAGCCGTCTTGATTATCATAAATTACTATCACTAACTCGCTGAATAGTTGGCGGAACTATTAAATTGGTTTATGGTTTTATAGTAACTTACCGGTGTGGATGTAAGTGTGTTTCTTCATGTCAGACTTCTGATGGAACCTCTTGCCACAATATTGGCAGGGGTAAGGTCTTGTATCCGAATGTATCAATAAGTGTGTCGATAGGGTCGAAGACCTCTTGAAGGATTTCCCACACTGTTTGCACTCGAACACTTTTTCCACGTTGTGCACAGCTCTGCAACAAACGTATCTTTTATTACTCTTTTAGATGACAAAAATAAGAGTTGTAAAGTTAAAGCTCGTCGGAGCATCTAAAGCTTGGGAAGCGCTGCACAAACCAGACAAAAATTTATAAAAATAATAATTTTATGTATATGTTATGGGGATTAAGGTACTTTCTTAAACTGTCACAAATGACCGGTTATTGTCGTAAATGACCAGTTTATTGATGCTGACAGCCTGCTTACCTTTAACCGCAACATTGTCAGACTATTTTATATCAACTACTTAGTTTGTCATAATTACTTCACCCTGTGGACGAGACAAATTATACGATGAAAAACCTCAAAATAAGTCTACTGAAGACGGGACATTAAGATAGCTTTCATATTTTATGTGGAATTAGCTTGTAGTCTGAGTTTAGGAATTACTTCCCTCGCCCTCTGAGGACTTTTTTTATAAAGAATTCTCGTGGAAGGAACCTTTCTCAGAAAAAATTGAAGGTTTTTTCTTGGCGTTATTATTAAAACGTAAACTTAAATTCACTTTTTCTTTGTCTAGGACACTATTCACAACGTTGGTAGGTCCTAGAATTTGAGATCCTTTGAAAACTTATTTACTCACCGCCTTCATTACTATAACTGATTGATTTTAATTGTTTATTTTACCCATTTTTGTTATTGTAATTTTATGGACTTTACAAATGGACTTCTACTAGCAACGCCAATCAGGTCGTAACAACTTGAAACTGTGTCGTTTATATTTATTCCACAAAGGTAAGAGAAAGAAGTCCAGTAAAGGATTTTCGCAATTTTTGACTGGTTCCATTCTTTAACTCTACCATGTACATTTATATATTTTTCTAACCAGAGTAAAAACATTTACCAGACTTACGCCTCCTTTTTGAATTTTCTAAGATAAACTGAAAAATTTTGAATTTTAATTTGAAAGCTAAAAATAAGTGTGTATTACTAACCATACATAAGAAATATGTTATTGGACACATTTTAAATAAAATTTTGAATCAATAAATACTGTCCCTTACTAATAAACTTAGTTTAAATAAAAAAGAACCCTTATAGTGTTGTTTAATTAAAACATGTTTAAAACAAGTACCTACATTAACTAAATATGTAGGTGTTATATGTGTACTGGAGAACTCAGGAAACCTTGCAGCAAAAAGCTCAAAAAAATTTTATTAGAATATATTTACTAATGTGGTTAAAAATTACTGTTTTTGTTTCAAATCAGTGTCATCTTATGACCGTTCCTGTATCTAGAGTATGGAACTGTATTACCGGAACAATATTTTTAAATACGAAGAAAGGCCATTTGATTAATCTCACCTTATCTAGTTAATTGAATTCTTTTCAAATTATAGCACTCAAACTGTATATAGATAATAAAAGTAATCGTGAGGTGGTACTCATTATCGCTCCGTTAAACTCTTTAAAAATACTTCCCCAAATGACAAAAAATACGTCTCCTAACACCCTAATACAAAATGGACATTTTTTTATCCAAACTGGCATATTGGCATAACAAATTTTCTTTAATTTTTAAATAAGGATGATAATTATATTTGTTTTCGTCCTTTCAAATATCCCTAATATTAATATACTAGGTGTTTGTTTACTAAATATGCGGCCAAAGTTCAAGAAGTTATTCCTTGGATTGTTTTAAAATGACTCTTTTGTCCTTGAATGATTTTCAGAAAGACTTTTTGCTCCGAAGATACGGGATGATACTACGGAATACTGCTCTGATCTGAACCTTACCTTACTTATGGCCTGCTGAATACCCAAACTTAAATCCCTAGGATTTTGATCTATGGGGCCATTTGAAAAAATCAGTGTGACTACTTCAGTGGAAAATGAAGAAGATCTGAAAAGTCTAATAATTGATTGGTGTAATGCAATAAGGAACAGCATGGTATTTTTGTGTTATTCGTGAGCCAATGAGGAGAAGATTGGATGGATCCTAGCTGCTGGTGGCCATTTTCAGTACTTTTTGTATTTTAAGAATTTTGACTTGCAATATGATTTTTTTTTTTTCGAAAAGCATTTGTCGTCGTGTTTCGAAAATCATTCAAAGATGAAAAAAATCTTAAAATAATCCAAAGAATAACTCCCTGAATTTGCGCTGCATAACTACTCTACATTTAAATATTGTTTTTTAAGTTTTGTTGATATAATTACAGATTTATTGTCTAGATAATGCCAACGTGGTTGGCGAAACGCGTCGGCAAATATTTTGTGTTTTCGGTGTTGTGGGGATAAACGTTATGTTACTAGTTCTAGGGCACCTAGTGATCAACAAGATTCCAATATTGTTGTTGAGGTTTGTTTTATATAAACAATTATTTAATAATCCTCTCAGATGGCGTTATCGGAGGTATGGAGGAGACAAATCTTTGATCGACATTTCATAGTCACTACATCCATGTAATTGTGATGCCGAAGAATTAAGTAGGTTCTAAACTATATAAATTGCAAAAATTCATATTTCAAATGAAAAAATGCATACTCTATTAAATCACAGGCAAAGGAGGTAAATAAATTTCAAGCGGGATTCGCTTGGCAAAATTTGAGAAGAACCTCACTAAATTCTTGGTAAAGACGAAGAAACACGACAATATTAAACTAGTAAAATTTCACAATAATCAGTCCAGTAGTTGTGAAAATTAATAAAAATACAAAGGGTCCAACGACTGATAAAGAAAATCGATTTGAATTTACTCGAAAACGTTTGTGTAATAAATTTTGTGGAGAAACAACCACTTTTCCATTTACATTTTGTGGATGATGTTGGAGTAATTTTTTTATGCACATTTTTTTTAGCAGTAGTTAGTAGTAGCTAGGACCTAAGGAAGTAAAACTGAGAAGTAAAATGATTTCTTATTAGTTGCTATTATTACGTTTATAAGCATTGAAATTTGAAAGGTATGTCTAACCATTGACGTGATAGGCGGTAGTTTAATTCCTCTGTGTCTTGAACAGATTTCGGTGAGTTTGTCCCAATTTTTTTTATTGTTGAACGGCACCGAAGCATTCCTAATGTATAATACGTCGATTCTCGACATTCCCCGGGAAAATTCTCTCACTTGGGGCAAAATTACCGATTTTTAGGGGTGCTTGCTTACATGGTGCTAGCATTCTTACCTGTCTCATTTTTGTTGCCAACAGATAAAGTTCTTTTAACTACAAGAGGTTAGTTGCTGTGCGCCTTGGGATTTGCCCTTGTCCCTTTTAGAACCCTTTTTGTTCTTCATATAGATTAACCCATATTCAGATAGCGTCTAGTTCACCTAATTTCGCAAATAAGTATCAAGCAATAGTTGTTACTGAGGTCGAGAATTTAGTGTTCAACGACTAGGTATGCTGTAGCAAGAGTATTATAATACTACAATTACAATACAATGCGTCATCCCAACTCTTGGTGGATTTGCTGATTAACAATTTAAGCCCAGTTGGAAAGTCAAATTACGTTACCTTAAAAATTGACCTACAGATTAGTTTTAAACCTTGCATGGGGACCGTCTCAATTAGGAGGACGTGCATAGACTTGAAATCTTTAGGTCACAATTTAATCCAACTTGACTGGGATACTATGTTTTCCAAGCAAGCAGTTCTTGATTGCTGGAATACATTCAAAAGTGTTATTCGTAGCAATTTGGGAAATATACCAACACTGTGACAATCAAAAAGTCGTAAAAGAAACCTTGAATTGAGGGTAAAATTTAGGTCCTCTTTGGTGTATGCAGATTAGGGATAACTCTGATAATATAGTGACCAATAGCCACACGATTGCCAACATTTGTGTCTTCAGAAAGGAACCGTTTCTTTGTAGAATTGACTTTCCTGAAAATGTGGTTTGCGAAAAGTTGAAAAAATTAAGGATTTCCAAGTCTCCAGGTCCTGATCTAACAGCAGCAAATATTTTGAGAAATTGTGCTGAAGCACTTAGCGTCCGCATTACTTCGTCTCTAGAGCAAAAAATACTTAGTCTTCTAAGGCAGCAACCTATTTTTAAGAAAGGTAATCAATTTGACGCTCGAACTACGTCAGTCTAACGTCAATTGTAGTTCATAATTTATGACTACATGTGTAAGTTCTTGTTAGATCACCATCTGATTGGACTAGGAATTTAGATTCCGATAGTCCTCGTAATGTCATCTGTTTCGATTTTTCCAAAGCATTTGATAAAGTTCCAAAGCATCGTCAACTTCAACATCTGGCTATACGGAGAAATCTTCTCCAGTGGATTGATTCATTCTTGAGTGAGCGGATTTTTCGTGTTAAGATGAGAAGGCACCTAGTAAAACTATGGAGTTATGAATGGAGTACCACAGGGGTCAGTATTTTGGGCCATTGTTTTTTGTCGTCTATACAGCTGATCTAAAATATATGCTCACATCGTCATTTGCTTTGTGCGCTGCTGATGTTAAGATATATAACAAAAGCAGTAATTTTCAGAATTTAACGCAAGGTCATCTCTATGTCATTTCTAACTGGTCAAAAGTTTGATTACTTCCGTTAACCCTAGACATTTGTCCTATTTTATAAGTTGGTAATAAAAACTCCAGACATCCATATTTTCTGTGAAATGTTAAGTTGTCCAGTACCAAGGCTAATAAAATACTGTTTCAATTGTCTGGAATGGGTCTAACAGAGGGCACTTTGAAGGACTTGTATGTTACGAATCTTTATCCTCTTACTGAGAAGCGAAAACGGGGTGATCTCATTACTATATTTCAAGCTTTGAACAAAATTGACTCCCCAATTAATCAGGCACCTGTTTCATCTCAATAGTTCCGAACGTACAAAGGGTCATCCTTCAAAATTAAGTAAGGAGAAGTTTCGCACTATAAATATTCAAGCAGAAATTCACAAGTTCATAATTAATCGGGTTTTTAATCAGTGGAATTCACCACCCAAAGACATTGTCCAATCTGAGTCAACACTGATATTCAAATCAAGGTACAATACACATTGTGGCAAAATGAAGAAGCTAAACTAGAGTGTTCAATTACTTGATAGGGCGCTGGATTTCCCTATTTTATTTAATAATAGTAAAAATACTAATAATAGTAATGTCAAAATTTTTTAGTAACTCCAATATGTTATATTCTTTCACAAGGAAGGTATGATACATAAACAATTCCTACGTCCGAAATTCGTCTGAACTACACAGTAGGTAAGCGTTTCTCCAGAACACTAATAGCAAACGATTTTTTACTTTTATGTCTTTGCAGACAGAAATGTTTCAATATTGTATACAACATATTAAATACATTCTGCACATAAACATCAAAAATTTGTTCTCCAAGCACAATAACTTGAAGTTTTAAATATCTTGTTGGTCAGAAAAATTCATATTGATGCAACTATGAAATTACAATTTTTGAGCAATTTTTTTTCGTGTTTCAGTGACAACCCACAATTTCGATTGTCTTAATCAAAATGAACATCAATATTGTTTCCAGCTTTAACGTTACAGTGTAAAGACTAAATCTCTGCTATTAAGTCCTGCTTGAACGTCATACTGTGTTCTACGTAAACCTCAATGATTGAAAACAAAAATACGGCAGACTAATAAATCAAGCGTGCATTGCATGGCAATTAGATGATATCACATGATTGATTATGGATAATAATAAATTTTTGTATCTACGCTTGTCATATGCTTTGTCCGTTTTAACTCACCTATGTTGACTAAGGCTAATTTCGTGACCAAACGTTTTATTGCACAGTTCACAGGCAAATGGTCTTTTTCCATTATGCGACCTCCTGGCGTGAACCTCAAGACCATGAGGCGTGGAAAACATTTTTTCACATTTAATACAAGAATACACATCTCCTAGAGGCATCATCCCCGGCCTCATCAGCAAGTGGTGATGGTGCGGATGAACCCCAGGACTGTTCATAAGGTGGTGCCTTAACCTAAACAGCTCTTCTGAAGTAGGTGGTGGAGGATATTGTCCCGGTTGCGACTGCCCGTTTGCCATGGCAGCGGCAACTGCACTAAAATATAGTGACGTAGGCGTCGGCAAAAACCCTCGTTCCTCGCTCTCTTTTTGCGGGTAGAGACTAGAAGGGAAAAAACCCGGATGCACGAAATTCCTCGGCAGAAACGCCGGACTGTATTCTGCATTTGTCTTCAACTGTGCATCTTTTAATAAGTCCACGAAAGGGGGGTACAGATATGACCTCGTGACTGATATGGTTTCTTGGTAACAGGGAGCACCGTCGACTTTTTTCGGATTGTCCGGTCGTAACAGCGCACTAACAGAAAAAGCTTCGGATTTTTTCGCAGGTGCGTCAATTTTTTGTAGCTCTGTTACTGATGGAGGTCTAGGGGAAGGTGTGTTCGTTCTGGAATGAGGCGGGGAATCTACTTCTAACTCTGGCGATGTGCTAGGGGAGGGTCTTGAAGGGGAGTTATCCCATCGATTATCACCGTTAATTTTCATTTCGTCGCCACTGCCCTCTTCTTTTTGGTAATATTTAGTGTTGTTGTTGTTAGATTGTTCATCTTCGTCTTCGGATTTGGTGACTAGGCGATTGATGCCGAAGTTGATGGGTTCTGGAAATAGAGAAGAATTTTGTTTAGGGTAATATTAATTTTCAATGGAAATGTGACAAATGTTTACTGTTAACGGGAAAGACTGGGGTGAAAACACTAGGGTGAACAGGTCGTCCATCATTATGTCTCTGCGATTTGTACATCTCACCGTGAATGAACTTGTCGCGAATGTGAGGTCCCCGAGGTTTATCCGCCGGGGACGGACAAAATATCCGTTTCAGGAGTAATGCCAAAAATTTGTTTTTTGTTATGGACAATTTAAACTTAAACCATTTCATCTTATAGACTTTCGACAATGAGACGAGTGTATCTATCAGCACTTATCATGTAATAATAAATTGTCTCAGTAACAGAAAACTCATAGTTCGTTTGTATGTGAAAACCACAGGGACTTTTATAAGTCTCTTTTTATAAAAAAAAAACTTGAATAAAGTATAATTTTAATAATAAATTAAAGTCTTTCAGATCTTCGACGTAAGAAAAAATTGCTATTTGTTCTGCTTTGAAATCCCAGCTATATAACGTTTAGTTTAATAATTCAACAATTTGTTGATTTAATAGCCTTTGTATACAACAATTTGGTGATATATTTAAGTCGATTGCTACACAAATCTATTTAGTAAAACTTTTTTTATAAAAATTCAGCGTGTTTTCTTGCTAAACGATAAGAATCATAATAATATTTGTTTTCAAATCTTAACATATTAACTTTTATTATAACCTCATAAATCTGAAATTTTTCTGTTGAATGAGATCGCTTCTTCAAACAGTTTTAGCTACCTTAAGTTATATAATCAAATATAACATCAAAGTAACGACCAACATTAATGTAAACAACTTTAATAAATATTACGAAAAAAATGTGTTGTCATTTAAGTATGAATCGAAGTAGAAACATCCAAAATTGAAAGTAAAACTGAAGTATATAAATGATTTTCATCAATCACGTCAAGTACTAGTTGACAAGTTGTCTGAAGTACCTTGTTATTATTACTACTTTTTTTATAGTTAAAATTATCTCTTTCAAGATATGGTACAATACAGGACAATTATAAATAATTTTAAATCTCAACTTAAATGTTAAATAAATTTAAACAAAATAAATAACCGAATATTTAAATTATCCATTACGTATTTAAAAATGATCAAATATTTGTATTTAATACTTCCAGAGTGTAGGGTAAGGAAGCATTGTAATAGGAATAGGACCCATCTGGCCAATGGCTACGTTTATAATTTCTCGACGTTTTATGACCTCTAAAGTGTGAAAAAATAGGTTCCCCTTTCCGTCTGTCTGTTTGTCTGCATATACAGATAATCTCCGAAACTACTAGACCGATTGTTGCCTAATTTTATCATTTTTATATGTAAATATCGTATAGATGGTAAAACGTTAACCGAAGTTTACCTAATCATGCTCATCAATAATGTGATGACGTTACCGCAAAATTTTGTTTAGTGAATGTTATTTACATATTACAAAATAATAAATCCACATGTACACCTGTGGTTTATGAAGCCGTCTTAATTTGTTACCTAGGCACCCATACTATATCTGTGGTTTATCTATTCATTCATATTTTTTAGGATTGTTTATAGGGGGTAATTCGAAAAAAATATGAATGAGGCAATTTATTTTATTCATCAAATCAAGAATGATTCACCGCTTTTCCAGAACATTTGCTGTCATTTTAATATTACACTGCACCTGTCCAAACTGATATATTTATGATGTCATCATAAAATTTTATAATGGAAAAACTCACTTGAAACTCCGACATAGCATGTTTCTTTACCTTAACTTTGCCGTTACGTATGTATCTTTCTTATATTATAGGCTACAGGGATATCATAAAAAATAAAGTCAAATTTTACCATTTTTCAAAAAACCTGGATATGCTATAGAGCAATTCAGGGCGAGGGAAGTTTTTTACATATGTTCGTTAGAAATTAAAATAAGCTTTCATAATACCAGATAGGACGATTTTTTATCGTTTTTTGAGAAAACTCGTTAACAGCTAAAAACCTGATTTGACTTCAACTGACCTGTTGTTTTTACAATGTCGCTCTGCTGATAGATACATAAGTGCCATATTTTTAAGCAGCTGCTTGAAACAAAAGCAGTGGCATAATTAAGATTGTCAGTTGATTTGCCTTTCGACGTCGGTTTTGCATTTTGAGGTTTTTGTGCAAATAAATCATCGATAAATATATTCTGCATAAAGCTGCAAGCTCAATTTTCCGCATTTATAAGTCTCGAATAAATAGTGTAGTATTAGTTAATTCCATAAAAAAATTGAAGAACTTTTAAAGAAGAAAAACAAAAGCAAGACAAAAAGAAATTCCAAAATCTGTAAGTGATGAGGGTTCAAATCATAGAAGAATGTTTTTCTAAAAATATTTATTTTTAAATTATTATTTTTTAATTCTATGAAACTACCTTTACCTAGATGATCAAAAATAGGAGATCTATTTTCAGTACACCCAAAGCACAAACAGACGATGTAATAGACTAAGGGGGAGATTCTCGAAACTCGATAAGGCCTTGCAAGGATCTGCAAATTCAAAACCATAGCAACATGTATTGTTGTTGCATTGTATTTGCAGTTTCGATAGCGATTTGCAACTTATCGGAGTTTCCAGAATCTCCCCCTAATTATTTTAATTATTAGCTTCATTACAGAATATCGTTCTTGCACCACATTTACTGATAGCTTATTAATCTTTTTCCTAGCAAAGGATTAATACAATACCACACTGATTTAAGTAAAGCTGATTCCATTCAAAATACCTTTTCAAAAATTTGGCACCTGAACTAATCAATCTTCCATCTAAATTTTTCTTCAACAGCTAATATAAAATCTATACACACAACTTTCACCTGCAACACAAAACTGGAAACTTGTCCTAGTAACAGCTAAATGTTTTTTATCATACTACTTAGGGATTTTTATTTAGTCCAATCACTCCGATAAAAACGTAAGAGATTTAGAAAAATCCGAACATTAAATAAATGTGAGCAAAAATTTCCAGATTGAATTTGTGATTGATTAAGCTAAATCCTTAAAAAAACGGTAACACAGAAACAACTATCTTTTACTTGATCCTATTCTAATGTCATCAGGCTCTTCATTGTTTAACTTTTGACTGATTATCTGGATGAAAAATATTACGCAAGAATACAGTACATAAGAATAGACGACAGATTTTAAGCCTTCCATAGCACCCTTTATTGTAATCCCAAAATTATACCCTCTTCTATCGTTGAATAGGACCATTATGGTAATTTTAACATCAGCACTCATGGAATTATGTAATTATTATTTCACTGCCTGTATAGAACAAGGCAAAAATATAAAGCTTACACTTTCATTCTGTACAATCAATACCATTATTTACAAAATATTTATTTGTTTTTGGAAAAACGGCACTATCTGTTTGCTTTGGTTATTTGTTTTCGACACAGTGGGAATTTTTGATTAGTCAATTTGACACGAACGAATATAATAACATCACGAAACCGCGGTCACACAACAAACACAGTATGAAACAATAAATATATAGAATATTTGATTTGTTAGCTTTCCAACTCACAGTTTTTACTGTGTTTGTCTTATTCTATGATTCACGAGGTTTTATTTACTTTCACATTGTCGCTGAAAGATTTAAAGACAATCCGAATATGAGCTCAAGCGATAAAACGTTCCAATTTGGTGGCGGCTGCACATCAATAATGTTTTATCTATCTGGGATAATTCTGCGAGTTGTTTTTGCCGCAATTTGCAGATCGAATAATTGAATAAAAGCAATCATGAAAAATCTGAAAACGGCAGGTGTTCCATTTTCAGCGGGTTTCAATTAATCAAATGTTATTGTTGCGGAAAAGAGCAAATAATGTGTTTAAAAAGCAACGGCAAGTGATAAAATAGTGCCAATATAGAGAAGTTACAGTAACAGCTGTCACAGCGAGGTCATGAATTATTCAGAGTCACCCTTGTACATATTACACCCCCATTCTTTATGTTGTACGCGTATCGTGTTGGAATAAATGAACAGAGCACTGTTTACTGAACAAGGGGGTAGTTACCCCTTAAGAATTACCCCTGTTAAACTATTCGGTCATAACCTAATGATTCGTGAACCCATCAAAAGAATACATTACGCCCCGCTTTCTTTACACTACTCCTACGCCAAATTATACAAATGAATTACTATTAATGTCTTTATTTAAACTTTAATTTTCTTGCCCCAATTAAGTCAATATAATCAATCAACGGGAATAATTGAAATACAAATAAAGGCGCTTTCCCGCCTTGGATTCATTAATCATGACATTTCAACTTCAACTACTCTAATTAGGTGCATTATATATTTCAGCCCAGGACACCGGGTATAGTAAACATCGTAGTGCAGACGACAGAGGGGGACGAAAACAAATAGTTCTCGACATCGCTCTTCAGGTGACAGGTCAATGTATATGCAAAACGAAGATGTTGCGTATTCATCACAATTTAATAAATAGGTCTCTATACAGCGCCTGGATACGGCAGTGAGAATCAAGGGGCAAACCGACATTGTACCATTAATTGAGAGGGCAGGATTGCCGACTTGTCCCCGGGGGTTAGACCAATTTACACTTTGCAAAACACGATTCGGTTCATTGCACGTTTGGTTACACTGCGATGGAGTTTTTGTTGGACACATATCGCACAACCAAGATTGAAAATGCAAAATTTCGATATTTAAAGTAAAATCTGAATTATTTTTGCAACAGGTAAAAGCAGATTGAAACAAATCATTATTTCTATATTTTAAATCTATTGGTCACCACTTTCCAATAAAACTGGAATATCTAGTACTGAGCACTAACTTTAGCTTTTATGGAGTTGACGCTTTTTAACTGGAATCGTGCTTTCAATTCGGACATGAGGAAAAAGCAATTGCAATAATAAAATTTGGGAAAGCACCAGATAAAGACAATATCTCAACGAAAAAAAGGA